TTATTTCTATAATTTCTTGAACATTTGGTATAAAATATGAACGTAAAACTCTATACAAAAAACTATAAATCGTATCGTGTTCGAGCTTGCGAGTCGTATCGTGTTCGAGCTATAAATCGTATGACCTTTGTCTCTATAGCAACAGTTCTGCTATTGGTTGGCATAAATTAAGTCAACATAAATTAAATTAAATTTAAATGTTTATCACATGTATGTGACATTAGACAAAGTCCAATGTCCCAATTATGAAAACGAGGCTCTATAGCCAAGATGAAACACTTTAAATAATAATAATAATTTAAATTGTTTGAAATTACTGGCTTAACTTGAAGTTCTCAAGTTCATTGTCTTAGTTTACAAAACTATCTCTTAGATGGCTATTATCATGTTTAAGATTTGCGTGTGTGAGTGGATTTGGAAAAGAGCGAGGTAATTACCTCATATAACTTCTAAACTATCAAGTAGTGAAAATTCATCGAGCTAAACCCACTGATCTAAGCCCAGTAAGCATAAGACTCGATAATTATTCGATAAACTTTCGATGAGAATCTCGAAAGGTTTTTCTTGGTTATCCTGGTTCAAAAGAACGTAGGCTTACCTATCATGATTAAAAAGAACATTACTTGAATGCGTAATTTGTGCATGTATATTTTATGAATGTACACTTGACTTCCGTTTGCGGAGCTACAATCCTGGCAAAACCTAATGAAATACCCAATATGGTTAATAATTTAATATATTCCTACCCATGGTGTAAGGTTCGATTCTCACCGTGCATGGCCAGGCATATTTTTCAAGCCTGCCCGGTGTGGATATACACTCAGAGTAACATCACAAGCATCATATTCCTACTCCTTTCTCCCTTACAATATTGATTAAGATCATTGGCGCCGCCAGGATTTGTTTTCGGGGACCAACTTAATAATTTATGAATCACCTTGCTATGGGTGTCCGGAAAAAGTAGTCCACTGGAAAAATTGATTTGGGGTCTCTGAAACGGCATTTTCTGTATTGTGAAACGTTGATTTCAGAATACCTGACAATTCATTTAACGTAGTCACAGAACAAAGTTTAATAGATTTTCTACGCAACCCTGTCTGCTGACAATTTTCCAACTCGTCTCCAATTATAACTAACAAATAACGAATCTAAAACTTACTCTGCATGAAAAAACACTACGGGGGGAGGGGGGTGTCACTTGAGGGAGCTACACTACAGAGCTTGGCGGCTTGTACTCTCACCCCACTGGTTAAGATGAGTAAAAAAATATACACATAGTGTACTCTGCAATCGGCAAACTATTGAACACATTCTTTTATAATTCGCGGGGATTTTTTGTCTACAGTTTTATTGTTTGTGATTTTTCGGATGGAGGAGTTTCATTACCTTTTTTGCCACGATTGAAGGTATGCGGTCTCTGAGTGTCCTCTATTGTTACTATGTATTTCAACAATTTACAAACCTTCTTTTTACATATAAAATGACGACGCCAAGTACAATCGCTTTCTTCCCAAATCTTACGTTTTACGTTTATCACAGCGCACTTCTCTTCGTAACCAATGTATCGCAGAATACCATCCAATCCCCATATATGAGCACCATTATACTGACTACCATTGAGCCATTGCCATCCTTCCAACGGATCCTGAGGGGCATAGACCTTCCGGTCGTCTAACCAGCAACGGCCATCTTCAAATGGACCATTCCCCTGCATGTGATATATCATTGTCAAGGATAGAAGGCTACCATTCTGTTGTTGGCAAAGCATATAAGCCGCAAACCATATCATACGAACTTTTTCAAACACTTTTATACACTTTTTTTCGTTGTGGACATCTACTTCACTCCAGTCTCCACATAAACCTGTATTGTAAAATCATACATCCTGATTATTACTTATTTAAGGAATTTTTGAAGATGGAATTTTCGAGTGTACATTAGATACAACTTTTGAACCAGGGGCAACCAGGAAAAACGCAACTACATAGGCCCTCTGGCAGGAATAGGACCTACGGCCCTGCGATTCCAGTCGGTTGCCAAGCATTAACCACAAGTTGATCAAGAATTATGGAATCTCTCTCAGGAATTTTAACATCTCTCTCATAGAAGTAAATGTTGAAGAAAAACTGCGAAAAACGACCATATAGGCCCTCTGTTAGCAATGATACATTCGAAATTTCCATGTAGAAAAATACATTTCAACATGCAGGTCTACCAAGTAATAATACTATTCAACATGTACAGGGTGTCTCAAAAAAACGCTACGGAAATTCAACAGACTGTTGTGCATCACAAACCGTTAACTAAACAGTTTAATTTTTACATAGGACGAAAGAGCTACTGTTTAGCTTTTCTATGATACCTTTCTTAAACCATAACGATGAGAAATGGCCACATACTCGTCAAATAAAAATTTTCGGTCGAAATCACATTCTCCACCGTTGTGAATTGAAAGTACATTAATTATGCAAAGTTAATCAATCCAAAAGCAACGCAAGCCTTCTGCAAGGTTCTTGTTTCGTAAAACGTTTTGATTACGAATGTTCTCTGCTCAGTGATTAATGGAACCATGTTTAATGCAATAATGGACGTTCTTATGGTCTCACTGAGAAAAAGACAGACGAGTTGAGCTTATTTTTGATAATTTAACTTTCAATTAAAATTCCCTCTTCAATTAATTCCCTCTTGGGAATTGTTTATTGTTCGTTTTCCTTGCAACTCCCAACGGTGCATGACGAATGTGATTTCGACCGGCAATTTTTATTTGGTGAGTATGTGGCCATTTCTCCTCGTTACGATTTAAACAGAGTATCATTGGAAAGCTAAATAACTGTTCTTTCGTCCCATGTAAAAATTGAATTGTTTAGCCACGTTTATGATGCATGACAGCCTGTTGAATTTCCGTAGCGTTATTTTTGAGACACCCTGTAGACATACCAAAAATCCTGGGACCGGTTGCTCGAAAATACATAAACTAAAACAACAGATTAAATTTTAACCGAGGGAAGAGCGCTAATCCAGCGTTGAACAAGGCATACCACATTTATACAGATAAACAAGTACTAAACATTACTGGATTATGAATACAATCGAAATCTTTCACATAATTTATGCACACGGTAAAAATTTACTAACTGTTGATTTCCTGTAACAGTACTATCTTTAAAAACAGTGAAGTTCGAGTTTCCAAATCGGTAAATAATTTTTGGCAAAATAATTTTGTATTGCAACTCTGATTTGATTTATAAACGCTCACATAGTAGAAAGCGCACTTAAATAATGCGAAGTCGGAAGTCGTTTAGAAAGTTTATAATTACTAACCATCTGTAACTCAATAGAACATTCAGTTAACTTATATTGCATTTACTTTTCTGGCAAAAATAATCACTTTCTCCTTTACTTTACTTTATTTTTTGACCCAAGGCAGTAAGGCACCTTCACTTGAGAAGAGGCAATATAGTTTACTGCAGAATGCCGAAATCGAAATGGGGCTTATGGGAACGTACTGGAATACTTACTGCTGGAATGCCTATTTAATGCGAAGGTTGAATACATTTTCCGTCTCGACAGAGGGCGATAATTAGAGAGAGCGAGAGAGGTTAAGAGGGCCCTGGGTAGAGGATTTACGCCATACCTACAACTCACCTTCACCATTTGTTATTGCATTTTTAATACAAACTGGATGGTACATCAAATCACAATTTCCATATTTCGATATATTAAAGTCGGAACACTGAACGGTAACACATTTATCCAGTCGATAATCCGTTACAATTTTCCCATTTCCTACAGTAGACACAGTACAACTCTTTTCACCTGTATTAATTTTTTTTATTAGGCCAAACCAATATGCTTGCTCAGGTTGGGTAATGTTATTGCTAGCCAATTCCATCAAAATACTCTCAGTCATTGAGTTCAATTGAAATAGGTGACTACCAGAGCCATTTAACAGGTCTTGACAATTGGATTGTGCTTTATACCATGATGCATGTCTTTGACTTAGTTCACTATGGGTAACTAAACAATCAAAGATAAACAAAAGTTATTTATCACACATGTTTACACTCTCTACTCTGGTATAAGTAAACCAATGCTTGCGGTAAAAGTATTCAAAGGAGACGTCATCAGTCAACAAGGTGAACATTTTCTTGTGGTAGATATAATAGATTTGCTACAAGGCAACTCGTGTTATTTAGCTGCGTGGTTCGAATCGACTTGTCGCTCTTGCAGGGCGCCTAACCATAGTCTGGTTAATGTAACCAGGAATCTGGTTATATTTGACCAAACTATGGTGGGTAGATAAATAACCAGGAGCCCTAGAAGTAATGTAACCAGGAATCTGGTTATATCTGACCAAACTATGGTGGGTAGATAAATAACCTGGGGCCCTAGAAGTATGTGTGTGTGTGTGTGTGAATGTTATATGTAAAATGTATTTAAAGATGCTAGCCTCATCAACAGGTGTTGATTTCCATGAGGGGGGTCACAAACCATACAAAACATATTTACAAATATACAAATATACTTAAAGCAGGTGTATCCCAAACATGAGTAATACTAATTTAGATATTCATTTTAAACGAATACGAATACCTGGATATTGATCCTGGCAAATGAAGGAATGATTTTTATGGCAATGCAAAGTAAGGTAAAGTGTTTGGTTACGCATAAACCCACAACCGCGACAACCGACATCAGGTACTCTTATTTCTCTATCTGTCCATTGCAATTGTGTACCATTTGACCACTCCCATCGTGGCCCAGGATTCGGTTTCGTGCTAATTGCCAATCCAGTCCACATATATCGACCATCCATGACGGAAGCAATAGACGCTTCGTGTACGCCGTCTGTATATAGTTCGCTATGTAGCCTTTTGCAGTGGGCGTATGCACCAAACCAGCTCATGCGGTCGTGAACTAACAAAGAACAATTTTCGCCATACGAGATCCAGTTTTCATCACACTTTCCTAATAAAGATTGGAACTAAAATTTATATAAAGTGATAGCACTTTTCGCGCAATTTGATTTGTTGCTCTTGCAGCTGCGGATATCCTTGCGCTATTCACCTTCGGACAAAAACAAAACAGGGCTTAAGCTTCGCGTTCAACGACAAACGACAAACGTCAGGCAAAGAAAAATTTTACGCTATAAAACAATAAAAAGTGAATGGGCTTGTTGTTTTACAACTAGAATGCTTAACTATTCCTGTGTCATATGAAAGAAAATATGACACGCTGAAATCGAACGAAAATTATGCCAAGAATTAAATTTCGACCTTGCCGTTTGGCGTTCCCGCAAACGAGAAGCTTAAACTCTCTAAAATGACTTTCCGTTTCGCTCCCGTTACAGGCAAGCGAATTTTTGCATTAAACGAAACTGCGGTTTTTCCAAACACGAAGAAAGTCACAAAGTAATGACCATAGTTTCGCTAACCTTAAAATTACCTTATTACTTATTTTTATTTCTCAAGGATTTATACAAAAGGTTAATTTAATTTAATTTGCAACGTTTCGGACATTTTAAATGTCCGTCATCAGGCGACAATTGTTGTCAATGCTATGTTCAAAAATGCTGACGATTTAACTTAACTGTCAGTCACGTCATTTTGCGCGTGCGTCAATATGCACTTGCGCGCGCGTGTTCTTGTTTACACGTTCCTTCTTAAAATACTTATTTAACAATGGTCTCCACATCACCAATTGTTCGAAATTATTCAAAACCGTGTAGCCATTATACTGTTCTCTTAAAGACTCAATTCCTTCGACTCAGAACCTGTATCCATCAATTCCAATTGAAAGAGCGTTAAGGTTAGTGGAAAGATTGCTGAGGGAAAGCAAGAAGTTAAAGGATATAACAGGTCTGAGCGTTGGATCGGTCATGGAGTTATTGAAGTGGGTGTTTAACCTGACGTACTGTGAGTACAATGGGAGTCATTACGTTTTGGAGAGTGGACCGATTGGGCTTGGAGCAACGGGTGAGATCGCGATGATATTCATGGAGGAATTTCAGTTACGGGCAATCGAAACGTCACCATATCCATTGAATGAATGGTTCTGGTACGTTGATGATAGTGAGATAAAGTTAGAAAAAGATCAGTCGGATGTGATACTTGACCATCTAAACAGCATTGAAATTTACCAAAGAAGAGCAAGAAAATGATGTTATCCCGGTTTTGGATCTGAAACAGAAAATCAACAGGAAAACGAAACAGATCGAATGTATGGTTCACTACAAGAAAACACATACAAATATAAATGTGAAAGAAAGATCAAACCATCCCTCCTCAATGAAGAAAGGTATAATTAAAGGATTTGCAGATCGTGCTAGAGCATTATGCGATCCTGGCTATGTAGAAGAGGAAATGAAAAACATTGAAGATGTGTTTGTGGCTAATGGATATGACAGAGAGACAGTGAAACGGTATATGAAAAGCAAAGAGGAGGATACGAATGAGTCGACAGATTCTAAAGATGAGGAATGTTGTAGAGGAATGGTGGTTATACCATATTTACAAGGAATGTCGGAGCAGTTCAAGAGAGTCGCTAAGAAGCATCGTTTCCGTACCGCATTCAGACCTGGGAATAAAGTGAGACAAATTAAAACAAAGGCACAGAAACCACTGGAAGAGAAACGGAAGACCGTCGTATATGAAGTTCCTTGCAAATGTGATGAGGCGGTTTATGTGGGAGAGACTTGGCGCTTGTTTGGAACTAGAAAGAAAGAGCATATGAGTAAAGTTCGGTTGACGGGAGAGGACATAAAGAATGGAAAACTAGAGTCGGCAGAAGAAAGAATGGGTAAGGAAGATGGAGGTTTGGCGAGACATAGCGTTGATTGCGAGAGTGGGATTGATTGGGAAAAGGCACGAGTGATAACAACTGAAAATGGATTAAAACAAAGAAAAGTGAGAGAAGGAATTGAGTCTTTAAGAGAACAGTATAATGGCTACACGGTTTTGAATAATTTCGAACAATTGGTGATGTGGAGACCATTGTTAAATAAGTATTTTAAGAAGGAACGTGTAAACAAGAACACGCGCGCGCAAGTGCATATTGACGCACGCGCAAAATGACGTGACTGACAGCTAAGTTAAATCGTCAGCATTTTTGAACATAACATTGACAACAATTGTCGCCTGAAGACGGACATTTAAAATGTCCGAAACGTTGCAAATTAAATTAAATTAACCTTTTGTATAAATCCTTGAGAAATAAAAATAAGTAATAAGTTATGAACAACAAAGGTGAAAGTTTTAGAAACAAGATTAAAATTACCATTATATATACTACTATATACAATCTGCATCATCCAATTAATGAAGGAGTCCTAAGCCACCTGCAGATTCCTCCACCTGATAAAACAGGCTGTATAGTAGCAACTTTGGGTTGGAAACTATAATTATTAATGTTAAAAATTATATGATTGCAATTATTGCAATTACCTTCCTTTTTCAGTTTTACACAAATAGATGCACATAGCCGGCCGCACCCAGTAAATAAGATTCTTGTGGATGGCTTTCTGTTCTTGCACAGCACAAGGGAAACCAAGGCATCGCTCATATTTCTCGGGACTTCAATGAGCCTGGACGCATTTTTTCGAAGTCCAATCCAGAGTGAATAAGAATATCCTTTTTGATTGAGGTAGAGTAAATCATCACCGTCAATGAAATCAAGCAAGGTGGCATTATGCTGCAGACAGTACGCTTCAGCTTCGTCCCATTTAAGTTTAGAACTACTTGCCATATATGAATACCCTTCCACTGATGTCCATCTAGGCTCTTGAAAAACAATAGGAAACTACTTACTGAATGTTTAAAATGAGGACACACAACCACAAATCACTGATAAAATAGTGTATGGCAATGTGTTTGTAGAAACCCACGTTTACATCATATGCCGTGTTATCTTGTGTTAAGTTCTATTGTATTGCGTTGCATTGCATACATTCCAGGATATTTATACAAGCACTTTTCTACTACCGCGGTATACGGTAGTAAATACTCAATCTTCAATTGAGTTTTGAAGCTGAATTTTCCTGCATAATTATCTTTTTTACAATACACCTAGAAAAAATTGTGGCAAATGCAAATATTTAGTGATAAAAGGAATAAAATATTTGAATCGTGTATCTATGAAGTTTAATTTAACACGGCAGTCAGCAAACTGGAGCACGAAAAACGCACATGCAAGCACAGCAGTGTAAGCAAGCACCTCCTTCAAAAATATGGACAGCGGATATGACGCTATTTCATGTAACGACAAGTCATAATGTAATCAGTAATGGCGACAAAATATTTCAGCCCCTCCCCTAATAAAATCAATCTTCTTCTGAACAACGGCAGTAGACTAAAATGCTTGTAAATATCCCTGGACAGGCTATCTTACATTGCATTGTATTGAATTATATTATATTATATTATATTATATTATATTATATTATATTATATTATATTATATTATATTATATTATATTATATTATATTATATTATATTATATTATATTATATTATATTATATTATATTATATTATAATATATTATATTATATTATATTATATTATATTATATTATATTATATTATATTATATTATATTATATTATATTATATTATATTGTGTATTACGCTGTATCAAAATAGAAAAACTGTCGAAGGGTTTTGTAGTTTCAAGTGCAAGATTATATACAATTTTCAGAAAAAAAACATAATTAGACCTGTTCTTGAGTATTCCGATGTCTTGTGGGCTGGGGGATTGACAGCAAAGCAACGAATCAATATTGAAAGAGTCCAAAAGCGAGCGTTTCAGATCATCTGTCCAGGAGAGAAGTATGCATGAGAATACACTTTTATCAAATGAAATCAGTTGCCAGATTGGAAGAACGAAGGAGAGATCGTTGTATAAACTTGGTTAGTGATTTATCAGAAAAAGAGTACAAACTTCACCACTTGCTCCCACCAAGAAGTGTCAGATAATAACAAGAAATACCAGATCTAATAAAGATCTTTTTTATACCTTTAATAGTAGGACAAATGGATTTAAATTCAGTCCAATTCCGTATGCTGTTGACACTTTTAACTCTAGTAACAATGGATGATGTTTTATATAGTAACTAATCTTTGCAAATTGCATAGTAATTTAGCTTTGTGTTATTGTATGCGATATTTTAAACCAGTTTGATAATAAAATAATAATAATAATAATTTTTCGAAGCTGCTTCTGGTTTAGTATAGATCTGAAAATTGTGGAGCAAAGCCAAATTTAACTGTTTTATACGCTGCGTAAATTAACCAGCACATGCATAATCCATTG